TAATATTCACTGAAACAAAAAGCAGTATGTTATGTTACATTAAAACAGTTCAAGAGAAATAGATGATGAGAATAACAGCAGGGGGAAATAATGTTTTTATGTTTATGGCTCTAAGAGGGAAGCTAAAGATGTTTAAAATGATATTCTTATCTAGTTAGGGAGGCTGTTGTTTATAATGAACTAAAATGCCCAAGGAGGAAATCATTCATGTGATTTCTAGCCTGTGGCATACCTACGATATTTTGGTATTTAGAATTTAAAGGGTATTTTATATGAATGCATTTTACACTGATGTATTATACAGAAGAATTAAGCTTTTTGTCTCATGAAGAGCTAATATTTTATAATCCCCATCACGAAAGCTCTCCAACAGAAAGAATGCATGGTTTGGTTTGATACAGTTGTTTATTACTTGGTGGGGAGCTGGGTAAGAATATAGTATGACTAATGCCCTGGGTTTGAAATTCAAAGCATTCAGACAAGGGTTTAGTACATATTTTTCATCTTCAGAACCCACTGAAACATTTCATTTTATTAGGTGGCGTATCACAAATAGGAGTCTGTGTAAACATTAAAAATTGCCCACTAGATCTAATTCATTTCAGTTAATAAACTAATAATAAGAGGAATGTGACACATCTTAATAACCCAGGGTAGAAAGACTTTAGGAAATGATTGATGTCTCGAGGTTTCCAAGATTTGCTGTTCATTACAGTTACCGCTGTCATTCAGAGTTCTCTCTGGTGTAATGTCAGAGCATCTTTGCAAGGAGCAAGAATACCACTTAGGCATGAGTTCAGGGGACACACATGTCCTCTGATTTAAAAATCCTCAATAAAAATGGTCCTTGTTCTTAGAACACTGTTAAAGAAAAAACAGACTGTTTTCATGCCATATCAGAGGACATTTCAAACAAAGATGTTTTGAGAAAGCAAGTGTTAACCTTTTGGGATTGTTTTTGACTGAGAATCTCAGAGGAGGAGTGCTCGGGGCTCCGACTGTGTGGGCCAGCTCTCTCCACTGGGAAACGGGTGTGAAGAGCCAGGACAGACGGACGGTGAATGTTTGTGCTGCTTTTCATAGCTCATGTGGTTTCATTTAACCAGCTGAGTTTTCCTTGGGTGTAAAATATATTTAAAAATGTATACCATGTAAGGCTACTGTGAGGATTAGATGAGAACCAATCTACTGTTCAGCAATCTATTGTTCCTTGGTGGCTACAGGGTGCCTATATAGAGATCTGCCTAGGCCTCTGAGGGCCTCTGAACCGGCTGCTGCGGGACAGTTTGGTGAGCGCTCTGGTGGTGCAGACAAAAGCTGCCGGGGAGCTCACGAGAGGATGTCTAGTCCGGCTGGTGGCTGTGTGGTGGTCAGGGAAGACTTCCTGGAATATGCCTTAAAACAAAAGTCTGTTTCCTCCCAGGAACTCCATACCAGGAGTTTCCTCTTTCCCTCCACTCTAAATTCCCCAGGATTTTCCCCACCTCTGTCTTAAGGTGGGACTACATGGCATCAGAACCGACACACTGGGGGTGGGGGTGGGGGTGCGGGTGCGTGTGTGTGTGTGTGTGTGTGTGTGTGTGTGTGTGTGTGTGTGTGTAAGCATGTAGTGGGTACTGGTATTTTGACTCTTTTGCTTCCTCCCCTCACCACTACCCTGTTGGTTACAAGAATGACTTGGGGGTTACTGAGAGGAAGACGGAGGGAGCAGGAGACGGAGAGAGAACCAAAAGAGAAAGACTTCCAGGAAAGGAAGGTATTTAGATAGCTGCTCCCCGCCCCTGTGCACCTCCCAACCAAGAAAATCCTCTCTGAGATTAAATTATATGTGAAGATTAGAGATTCTAAGAGGCAATAGGAAAAGAACTGTTTCTCGCTGTTAGGAGCAGGAGGAAGCCCAGAACCTGATTCCGTGAGAACATCTGAAGCTACAGTTACACACGCAGGAGAGCAAGCCCATCAGAAGGGGAAAGGGGTCAGCCGGGGAGCCCCGAGGGAGAAGGGAAGCTTGCAGCTGGACACAGCAGTGTCCTCACCACCGTCCAGGATGGCCTGAGCGCTTGGGCCTGGGGACTCAGCCCATCTGTCCTGACTCTCGATACATATCTTTTTGTGGAGAAGATGCACAAGGCCTGAGCCTTTGCACGTATAGGTCATGCTTGTGGCACCTCTTGCTTCATTTCTCAAAGGGCAGAATCTTGTCTCATTATCTGCTGGAGGGGGAGGGGGCTGTCCGTGCAGGCAGCTGTCCTTGCCTCCTCTGCTTTCCCAAGGACACTGGGACACTAAGAAACCACTGGATCTATGCTGGAAATACAACCAGTTTTGAACTCTGCTGTCCCAAATCTTTTAGCAACTTGGATGAGAAAACCCTTTTATCCTGAATTTCCTGAAGCATACCCAACATCTTTATCTCTGCATTAAATTGGCACATCAAAGCAGTGTCTTGGTGTAGCCCGCATTGTATTAATTCCCCCCACAGCCTCCACTAAACATACGCTGGGATTGCTTTCAGTCAACTCTTTTGTGAGTTGAAATCAGCCTACACTGAGGAAAAATGTAAGAAACCATTTAATGAAACTTGTTATCGGCTGTGTTCAGTCTAAGGATGTTGTTTCACTTCAGTCAAGATGTCTTCCTTATGAGAATCCAGGGGCCAGCTTTCTCTTTAGTCTTGGCACTGGGAAGCCAGGAAGGTCTCACCATCCTGAGCCATACATTAATTTTTATTCAGTGGCACTCAGTGTTTTAGATGGTAGTAGCATTTGTCACATCACACTAGCTGCTTACAAGCTTACAACCACTTGGCATACATTTTCTGTATCAGCCTCATCCCTGGTTTTGGCTTAATTTTTTCCTTCATTTCTCTTGGCCTCATCTTTTCATTTCTTGTCTTTAATTTAATCTTGCTAAGATGTATGTATCTTTATAAGATGCCTTAAATCCTTTGGTGAACAAAGCCAGTGGTAAATAAAGTTTCAAAACATCATATGCTTAGGTAAGTTACTCTGCTTACCTGATAATATCAGGCTGGTGATCTGGCTTTCCAAGGAGACTTTTCTAGAAAGAGATAATGTGCTTGTCAGAGGGCTTAAGGATCTTACCTGGCAGGTGGAGTTCTTACTGCACATTAACATTTGACACTTGGGTTCATGTAAGAGTCTCCTGTGGGCTTGGTAACTGTGTGTCCATCTCTAAGAATGCTCATCTTGCACTGTTTATCCTTGCCACCACTGCACACCAGACATGTTAATCCTCTTTTGATCTCTGGAACATACCAAGTGCTTTCCCACCTCAGGGCTCTTGCACATACTATTGCTTTTGCTTGGAAAGCCCTTCCACCTGTTCTCCCCACGCTACCATTAGAGTGGTAGTGGCACATTAGAATGATGGGGGGAGTTTATATTGATGCCCAGGCCCCCCAGCCCAGACAAACTAGTCTCTGGGGGTGGAGCATAAGGACTGTTATTTTTTTTTAAGTTTTTCAAATGATTCTAATTTTCAGCCAGGGCTGAGAGTCATGGCTTTAGGTCTCAGCTCAAATGTCAGCTGCTCACAGAGTTTGTCTTTCACTGCATCTAGGACACAGATACTGTCTTGCTCTCTGGCTTAGCTTCTTCTTTCCTTTGTGATAATCACTACAATTTGTAATTATGGCATTTATTTGAAACTTTTTGTTTGTCTCCCTCCTCATTAGGATGTAGGTACTGTGAGGACAGGGAACATGTCTGTCTTGGTCTTTGTGCTTTACTTTAGGGCACCGATCAGGCTCATGACAGGGTTCTGAGTCTGCAGTGATAAGGATGGCCCTCAAATGAGGCGTACTGCTCTGTGAGGCCTCCTGGAAGCCAGCCGGTGCTCCCTGGAATATTACAAGGGAATCTGTGTCGATGTCCAGTAGCTATTTTAACTGGCAAATGGTTGCACGCACTTTCCCTTTATCTGACTTGTGTCCCAGGATTTTTCATGAAATCTGTGAATAGATTCTGAGTCACGGCATCTCCCTTACAGCCATGTCTTTCTCCTTCACTTGCTTTTGACTGCTATGAGTGAGGGAGTCCATCTTGTTCATCTTTGTGTTCCCACCCCCAACCCTAGCACCCAGCCTTGGATCTTACACACAGTATGGGGCTTTTGTTGACTTGAATGCTTTTGACTTTATCCTTATGGCACATAGGTATGTTGACCAAGATTTCACCCTGGGCAGTAATATTTACAGTTATTCAGGAATTTGAGGCATAGGGGATTGTGACCACATCATGAAAGTTACATATTTTAATGTAGGCAACTTAAACATAATTTAAATGCAGATGGTCTCTATACCTGGATTGCCCAGGACAAAATAAGCATATTTGTGTTTGGAGACAAATAATGAAATAGGAGTCTGAAAATGGCTCATAGTCATGAACCTCATAATGCAGGTGCCCATCCGTGAAAGGGTGAATGCACAGGGTGCTGCTTGAACTCTCCCTATGGCTGAGTCAGTTCTTTCCAAATTCTTATTTGGTAGTTATCAATAAAGCAAAGCAAAGCAAACCTCCCGCCTACTGTTTTCCCCTCCCCCAGTTAGTATGTTCACAAGCTGATGTGTAAGTTCTTAGGTGCTTTTTCCTAAGCTTAAATTAACCAAGACCAGTCAGGGCAGTGGACATTTTTTCTCTTTTTTCTGCTTTATTTCACTTCCTTAAAGAATCATCTTGTTTTTTCACTCCTCCCTTCCTCAGTTTCACGTAGGTGATTTATTGATGGGAAACGAAGAGGGAAATGGCCCAGGAGTTTTGGTACACACAAATCCAGCCGTGCAGCAAAGGCATTACTCTGCCTCTTATGTGGGGAAGTTTTCATATTGTCATGGAGAGAAACACATTCTTGCGCGAGCACGTACACAGACACACACACACACACACACACACACACACACACACAAGTCTAAAACTACATAGATGAAACCCCCTCTTCAGAGAAGCCAGCTACAGGAAATTGACTTATGTACAGGAACTTGCTAATCTCTTTTGTCATATTCGGATTGTTCCTGCTGCCTCAGTCATCCTGCACACTAAACACCACCATCCTGGGCTGGACTCTCTACCAGCTCCTCTTACATTTCTAGCTCTTCAGATGTGAATCAGTTACATTCTTGGGGAGGAAGGAGAGGTTGGTGGTAGAAGGAAACCAGAACTCTGAAAGGACTTGGACTCCTTTTGTTCTTACCTACCTGCACGAAACAAATTTGACTTCCGGAGTCAGTCATTTTGGTGTCAAAAAAATTTCTTTGGCATTCTACAACAGGTAAGACTCTTGCTTTTTTAAATAATATTTCTTCAGTGTCAAGAGAGCTCTTTCTAACTTATTTAGCTTTAACTCTAGTCTAAACACAGTAATTACTTTGTTCTACCTGTTGTAAAGTATGGAACCATGTTACTCTGGAAGTTGCTCTGATATCCAACTACCCCTTCCCCAAGTCCTAACAAGATTCATGTAGTTTTTACAACATTAAAAGTTCTAATAGTTGGCTTTTGGTTTTCCATATATTCTCCTGGAGAATTCATATGCTTGTGATTGACGATGACTCAGCTCGAATATTTGGGTTTATCACCCTATATTTGATGAAGTAAACCTAAAGATCCTATAAGTTGTACAAGTAGGAGTTTTAAGATTTTCTAATTCAGAAAAGAAATAGGCCAAAATCCAAATGATGTTGATTTGGCTCTGGCATTCCTAGCTTCTTTGTTCACCTATTGCCAGTGCTGAAGTCCTGTTTCTGAAAGTGGTGCATGATGCCTAAGTATATTTTTAAAAAATAAATTAAATTTCGTTTTTGAGTAGCCTGGGTTGTAATTAAATAAAGTTTGGGAACTCACTAGTTTTAAGTGCTTTACTAAAGGTGCCATCAAAATAAGCAAGCAACAAGGAGTTGATAATAATTTATTGATCCTAAGTTTGTTCTGTAGAGAATATAAAAGAAATATAATTTTCTACTTGAAGGACCTTGTAATCTAGTTGTGGTGAGAAGCAAAATTTGGAAGACAGTTCAAAAGTTATGAATGGGGTGACAAAGGCTGTAAGGGCTAGGAGACCCAGTAATCTGGAAGACATGGGCCTTGGAAAGATACAAGATTGGAGTGGATAGAGAATTGGAGGGTACTTCACACTGGCAGGTGTGTGGGCAAAGGCTCAAGGGAGACCGACCAGGAGATGGCCCACCCATCTGAGGAGCCCAGTGTGCGAAACGGCGAAAGTTTCTTTCACACATCGGCAGGAACTACGCCTGGGAAATTAGGCTGTTACGAGGGACCTTGAGAGGCTGCTGAGAATAGACTCCAGTTGTCCTAGTCTTCTTGTGCCACTGGGCCCCCTTTCCTCAGCTTTCACAGCGCCAGCAAGACTCCCTGTGAGAGGGTGCCTAGAGCTCCTCGCCTCCTCATCCTGGGGTCTGCTCTGTGCATCTCCATGTCTGTGACCCTGAGCCTCCGCTTGCCATCCCTCTGCTGTCTTCCCTCAGTTTACCATTTATGCAGAGAAAGGTTTGTGTGGCTTGGGGTACCTGTAAGACCCCCATTTCTTTTTAAGAAAGTCCTTTATGTTTGAGGAGGTGCTTTAATCATCTGGTAATTAAAGCGGTCTTCCTCTTGGGTGGATAAATTGGTTGACCAACTATATGTAGGTCTCTGTTCTTCAAGAGCCAGTCCAAAGATTCCATGAAGTACGTTACTCACTTTGCAGGTCTGAATGAGGCATTAGATTTGCTGCTGTTTTCTCTCTGATGATTCAGAGCACTTTTTTTTTCTGGATGGTGAAATATCTGCATCTATATGATAGTAAAAATACATATAATAAAATACTGAATAAGAACCTAGACTTTAGGGTCAGATTGCCTCATGCTGAATCCTCATGCTATTGCTTCTGAGCTGTGGGAACCCGGGAGCAGAGCTTCCTCAATCCTCTGATTTTAAAACGTCTGTAAAGTAGCTCTAATAACAACTGAAAATACCTCCTTCAGCAAGTTGTAGGGATAAAATGAGATGAAAAGATGTAAAGCTTGTGGCCTAGTGCCTAGCAAAAGTAAACTCTCAATAAATGTAGTTGTTATGATTTTTACTAAGGACTTGGCTGGGGACACTAGAGGGAGGATGATATGGTTTCTGCCTCGGGAACAAGACATCTGTAAAGTCTCCTTTTTGACGCCAATATTGTTTTCAAAGGAAAATGGGGCTGATATGTGGAGGCTCGAAATTAGTATTTTTTGAGCACCAAATGTGAAATAAGCCCAAGGTTGGATGTTTTGTAGTGATAATGTATGTGAAAAAAGGAAAATAAGATTAGAAATTGACATTTGAAGCCATTCCGCATCAAATTCTCAGACTTAGAAGACAACACTCAGAGTGGCTGCTGTGTTGTTTGTGGGCATCTGTGGCTGATGTTTCTCTCTGAATGTTCTGGGTAGAATTATAGAGGTACACGGCATTAGAGGCAGAGAGAGTGACCCTTCTTCCTTGGCTAGCTTAAATTAAATGATTACTTTTATGATATTTTAGTCTTATGCTAGCAAGGCATACCTAAAAATCAGGAGTTGGGACCATTTTGACAACGAGTGCCCAAAGGGCCCATTTGGGCTCTTAGAGGCTTGGATCTGAGTGAAAGCTAAGATTAAAAAGCATCCTTCTTTCCTGTTCCACCTCCGAGGCTGGAAATTCTTTTCAGTTAGTAAGGCCCCCTTAAAAAATGCGAATAAAACTGGTTTGTTCATTATGCAGGGGATTCTCAATTATATGTGCAAATTACTTTGGTCAAATAATAATATTCGGTTCCTTTTAGAGCCCCATTAATGACATAGGGAGGAAGGTTTGGGGCTGTGTGTGTGGAAAGGGTTGGACACAAGTCAGAATGGAGTGCCAGAGTGGAGCTTGCTGGAAGACAATGTGATGGTATTGGGTGCTGGGTGGGGGGCAATGAGAGCAAGGAGGGGGTCAGAGATGGAAAGGGGGAATAAGAGGAGGAAGGGTGCCAGAAACAAAGGCTCCTTCCATGGGGCTCTTAGCATTTGAATCTAGCAGCTGCTTGAAAGTCCTGAGTAAATTTTTGACATAAGATGTCATAGTGTTCCTTGGATGTGGACAGTTGTTCAGGGATGATTTGATTGGTCTGGTTCTGGCCTGAAAATGTAGTTCCTAAAGCTGGCTGGAGATTAAAACCCCTTGAGATTTTTGAAACTAGCAATTCTCATGTATCGCACCCCAGCCTTGGAGTGGGGTTCAGGAATCTGTGTGATAATAAATGCAAACCCTTCCCCTCCAGAAGGCTTGGAGGCAGTTGTTCTACAGCTGAGCATTTGGGAGCCACTTATTCAGAACTCTCCTACCAGGGCCTCAAGCACTGAAATGGTAAATTGAGTAAGTGCTGAAATGAAGCAAAACTATCTTCCCTTTATTGTGATTAATATTATCACACAAAAGTATTTCCCTTTGTTTTGAATTTATTTCTTAGAAGAATTCCTGGGAGTGGGATGACTGAGTCAAAGGTGTGAGGATGTGTAGAGCATTGTCATGGGAAAAATCCTCAAGTATTATATGCACAGAGAGGCTATTCATCATTACTCAGGAAAAGCCTCAAGAAAAGAAATTTCTCTCAAGAATGAAAGTGCCTAATCACCCTCCCATTTCTCCTTCCTACAAGACAGAATACTAATGAATTACTTTTGAAAGAAAATTTCAAAACATTACAAAAGGAATGCTCAGTTGCTCCTTAAAGCACAAGTTTGAGTCTTGTTATCTCTACATGGAGTTTCTTGTAAAACTGAAGTCAGCAGTGACCTCTTCCCCATTTCGTAGAAAAGAACACCAAGGAAGAGAGTGGTTAAGTCACTTGCAGTATTGTTCTCACCACAGTTGCCATGAGGTCCACGTGTATTACCGTTTGAGTAAATAAATGATTGAGTAGTTTTTATGGATGACCTGGTGGAAAAATGCTACTTAAATGAATGCATGATGAGAGTGTTGGGAGAAGGTAGGCAGAATTTATTGACCTAGCTAGAGCTCCTGCTCTCTCTCTTTTGCATTATGTTTTATTAATTATGTACTTTGCATAATCTGCTAACTTAAAAGCATGGTTATTGTTTGTGACACAGATGGGAATCAGGTGAATTTGCAATGGCTTAATTAAAAATAAAATAAGACATGCTCTTGCAAAATACCAAGTGAGCTATCTGCAGTGGTATGTGGGAACCCGCCTTGCTTGCAAGAACTGATAGTAGTATTTCCAGAAATTTTGCAAGTCAATCATTAAATAAAGCCACCCTGAAAAATCAAATTTTAAAACTCAAAGTTAAGTAAGTTGTATTAAAAAGAAAGGTAATACTCAAACCTCATTAATTCCTAATTATTTCCTACATTCTACTATTATCTGTGCCCTTGAAGTTATTTATTTCAATGTATCTGTATGATAGGAATGTCATAATATGGTGTACTACGGAGCATCTCTTTCCAACTCTGCATTCAGTAATGTCATGTTCACAGCTTGAAACTGCCCGTCATAGGAGTATTTACACCATGGAAATGGCAAATCAGGGCTCCCCCAGTTTTTTTGAGGAGAGCCTGTTAAACATTTTTCCAAGTACCGCATAAGGAACTGCGTAAAACACAAATACGGCAACTTGGCAATATGTGTCAAGATCCATTAAAAGGCTCATACACTGTGATCCATTAATTTTACCCTGGGAACTTATTCTAAATAAATAATTCAAAAAAGGAAAAAGTAACATACATGAACACACTCACTGTATTATCATTTGTAACAGAAAATCTGAAAATCTTTTAAGCAAAGGGGTTCTGGCAGCATTAAGTCTATGGAATATTTTGTAGTCATTAAAGGTAATAGGTACAGTACCTATGAAAATATATTTGACATGGTATTAAATTAGAAAAACAGGATTAAAAATTTCACTTACATTCTGATTTTGTAATGAGTGAAGATTAAATATGAGTGTAAAAAAATGAAAGCATTTGTTGTGTTAGAAATGGGGTGAAATGGTAGAATTTTGTGTTTATTTCATTTATTGTAGTAGTACATGTATGCATTAAAAAATGTGGAGAAGGCCTGTAAATAAGTGGTCTTAAGCAGTGTTAATATTGAAGGGGAAGCCTATGAGGAGTTCTGTGGACCAGATGAGGTTTGCCTTTGACATGCAGTTGTGTACTCTGCATCCTGGGCAGGGTATGTAACAGTGGTATGGATCCAGGCAGTCTGGAGTCTGGAGTGGTGAATGCTAAGGCAGTTTATTTAGGGCAGCTCGG